GGCTACATGTATTCAAAGGTAATAATTAGGGCTGTCAATTTAGCATGTTCTTTTTGTACATTAAATTATAAAAAGTTTTTATTTATTATATTATATTATTTATTCTTGCAAAAAAAAGCACCTGACACATCAGTGGTCATTACTTATATGTAGTATCCCCAACTGTGCACATTTTAAATGCCTCCTTTCTCTGACGCACTCATTTCTGGTCTTGGGGTCTCTAATAGCAAGCTGATGAGTTCAATGAGATGCATTTGACTGAACCCATGTTTAAAGATAAAAAAAACAATATATTGAGTTAAAAAAACATCTAATTGATGTCTGTTTAATGCTTTAGGCATGTTACATATCTACTTTTCATATCACAATATAATCCTTTAAGCTTTTATCACCGTATTGAAAATATCCTTGACCAATAAAACAATAGTGCAATGGACTGAACCTAGATATCTTTTCTGGCATACTTTAGTCCAGATTAAAATAATACAAAAATCTGAATGGCTGTTTAAAAACATATAAATATTGTTTGACTTACTTTATTCTCTGTGACAAACTGAGTGTCAGAAACGTATAGTTGTGTTATGTACCAGGTTAACCAGAGTATTTTTTCTTTCTATGGAATAAACTTGCGTTTGCATTTAACTTGTTGCATCATACACACAGTGTTGTAAATTTTTGATGAACAAGAAGATAATGTATGTTCTAAAAGGTAATAAGGTACCAAGACTTATTCACTGTATTTTGAAGTGCCTGTGATAATTCTGTGCATAATAATTTCCAAAATATACTGTATTACTGAATACGTACACGTACTTACAGTATTTTCAAATTATCTTCATATAGGATCTTTTCTCTGAAAATACTGATAAATGTAATTATTTGCTATTAATTTGATAGATTAATCATCATATCATGTTTACTTGATTACATTTGTTTTAATGGATTGACATTCATAATACCAATTAATGTCATTCTTATCTTTGTCTCCCAGCTTTTGTGAGGGCTCATTTGTGTTATTTTGTGGCCAAACTTGCCTTGTGTTAATTACCAAACCTTGTTTTTTTTCACCTTGTTTCAAACTCTCTCCAGCCTAATTGACAACTAGATATTAATAGAGTGTGACCTTAATCATTGTGAGGAAATGCACTGACTACAGAGCATGTTGATCTGATTATGATGATCTGTTTGCTGAAGGGCCAGTTTACATACAGCTTGGACTCTGATCTTAGGACAGCTCTGTATTGCTTTCACATGTATGGATGTATAACTAATTGGGTCACAACAGAGCACTGCATGCTCTGCAAAGGATAATGAAGCCAGACCTTTGGAGCAATAAATTGCATACGGCATGTCATATTTTATATGGCATGTTTTTTTCGCCTTGTGTGAGCTTAAGTATTTGAACTGTATAGATAAGAGCATTAAGGATGCATGGTAGCTTCGTCAGGTAGATTCATTCAGTCCCAGGGAAATGCTAATTTACAGTGCATGCTAAGTTAATTAGAAAAAAGTGTCTTTTGCTGTGGTCATTTATGTATGTGTATGTAAGTCCTGTGTCACGGTATCGCACCATACTCAAAGTTAGCATTGTAGATTATCTTTTAAGAAAATGAAGAATAACATTGGTAACACTTTACAATAAAGTTCAGATTGTTAATAGATAATTATTAGATTAGAATCATTATTTAGAATCACGAACAACAATGTTTTACTGCTAACTCATTTTTAACATTACAAGATGCATACATTGAAATAAATTACTTAGTATATTATAAAAAAACATGAATTAATTTGGAAACATGGATTTAGCAGGATTTTATACATTTTAGTTTATATGGTTATATAAGTTATATAATAATAGTTTCTATATTTATCATTTTTTTAAACTAACAGTAACCTAAATTAATGAATACTAATTATCAATACTAAAATAATTGTTGTTAATTGTTTGTAAATAATACCTAATATATTAACTAATGTTCACAAATTGAACCTTATTGTAAAATGTTGCTATTAAAAGCATAGTTTACCCAAAAATTAATTAAATAAAATAATTAATTTGCTGAAGATTTACTCACCCTCACGTCTTTCAAGATGTAGATGAGTTTGTTTCTTTATCTGGAAAAGATTTTGAGAAATGTAGCATTACATCACTTGCTCACCAGTGGATTGTCTGCAGTGAATGGGTGCCGTCAGAATGAGAGTTCAACAACTGATCAAATGTCTCAATAATCCACAACATGACTGTAGTCCTTCAGTTAACATCTTGTGAAGAAAAAGCTGCATGTTTTTAATAAACAGTTCCATCATTAAGGTGCTTTAACTTTAAACAACTTTTATCACTTCTGGCCAAAATACATTAACTGATAAACTAGGATTACTTGTGGATTATTGTGATGCTTTTATCATCTATCTGGACTCTCATTCTGACGGCACCCATTCACTGCAGAGGATCCACTGGTGAGCAAGTGTAAATTTCTCCAAATCTGTTCCGATTAGGAAACAAACTCATCTACATATCAGATGGCAGCATTTTGGGTGAAGTTAAAGTTTAACATTGTTAAAAAATAACCTAGCACCATAGCTGCCAGTCTGTGCACTGTGTTCATATTACCTGCACGGATGTCTTTATAGTTTGAACACTCCCTCAGAACTACAAGGCAGCGTCTTAGTACAAATCTGGAGCTGCCACTGCAGCCTCAAAGGAAAAAGTTCATGGCTCAGTGCAAAACACAACCCAGATAAAATCATTATCCAGTGCTGAAAACATCTATATGACGGTGCTGAACACAAGCTTGTGCTTCAACAACGTTGTCACATTCACGTAAGCAGTATGGGGTCTCCGTCTTAGAATAAGACCCGAATGATGGGGCATGTTTTAGGTACACTAGCTCAGAGTACAAGAAGGGCAGGATGACTTATCTAATAACCCTGCAGAGCTCTAGCAGAAGTACTTTGAGTTATTACCTGTCAAGGATCCAGGACCTCTGGGTTAGCATGACCATCTCTGAAGATTGCATGTCTGTTTCATGAAGGAGAAACACACAAAGAAATCTGAAGACATTATAAGGCCATTCAAAGAAAAATGGGAGAATTTGTAATCGTCAATTTTTAATTGTCAAAATATATTATTAAAACATTTTCTTGACAAACAGGTTTAGTAGATAGGAGCTGGACTACTGCTATGCAACAGAAAATGGTTAATAGATTGCCTCCTTAAAGGAATTTATACCGTATAGACAAGAAATCAGTTTTGGCTGGTGAGATTATCTAATATTTTAAAGACTTATAAAGGGGTTTATGTGTTTTTGTTGAGGTAGTTTATTTAGTTTTTTATTCATTTTTGTTTGGTTTTGTATCTGTAAGGGTTTTCTGTAAGGGTAAAGGATATTATTTACCTTTCTACAATATAATTTCTTGTTTTGTAGACATATGTGACATTTTTATAATATATTTTGTTGTTTTTTTTTCTGTTTTTTTTTTTTTTTTACCTTTTCTTCATTATGATATCAAGACTGTTATATTACCATTACCTCTAATTTTATTTCCATGAAAGAATATCCAGATGAATATTAATTATTATATATTTTTTAATTAAGTGAGGTGTATTCAAGTCATATGAATATATGAAGAGTTCAGATGCAAAAGCCTCTAAGTGCCATCTAAAATTTTCTTCTAAAATGAGAATTTTTTTTATCAGGCTCCTATGTTTAGGTTCAGTAATTTTACTCTAATGGCAATGTATAGGTACTTTTCTATGCAATTAAAGTGAAATAACTGAACAAAAAAATAGGAGCCTGATAAAAATGCTCATTTCAGAAGAAAATTTCATACGACACTTAGAGGCTTTTGCATCTGAACTCTTCATATGCCTTTTTTTTGTGTGTGGATTAATAGCTAGGACATAAAGTGAGCATCACATCATTGACCCAGATTTCAAAAGGAATATTTCCGGAGGGTGCTGCACTACCTGAGCAATGGGAAACAGACAGCTTTCTCCAAGTGTTATATTCTTCTTTTGGTGGGTGTTTAGCGAGCTGTGCACAGTTATGAAGATAAATCCATATGTGAACACTTAAAATGTGTCAGTGATGAATGCAATATCAGTATTCATCATGGGTACGTCTGAATTATTGTGTGACTCTGTTACACACATATGTGGTTGTGCTGTCTTTTGCCATTTTTACTTGTCTCACAAAGCCATTTTTTACCTCTGAAAATGAGAGAAACGGAGAATAAAAGAGTAATTGATAGTCTTTGTTGTGAAACCCTTCATACAGGGGCTTTTTTCCCCACAAGGATTGTCAGGGTTGTGACTGACAAACTACAGGAGACACAAAGCAGTGCATTGAGCAAAAATAATTGCAGACAGTAAAGCTTTTTAGAAAAAGTGTCATGGCATGATTTGTTGCAGGCTCCTACTGTCTGCCTGTGTCTGTATCCTGACTGACAGGCTAGAGACTGAGGGAAGACTTTTTACTTTCATGGCCTTGTGCTCCCATGTCGAAATGAAGAGAAGCACGTTGCGGTTTTGTGTTGAAAATGAGTCTGATGTAAGTGAATGATTTTCGTCTCTTTCATTCTTCTCTCCTTTACTTGTAATTGCAGCCTAGTCGAGGCGCTGTTCCAAATCAATGCTTCCTAAATTCGTAAGCATTGCTCAAAACATTAACGATGAAGTTAAATGTTGGAATATTTGTTTACGATTTACTTCATGCATAATTTAGAATCAGTCACAATGCTCCACTTCCTCTCTTGTGATCGAGTGAGAAATTGTTGCATCTTCTGCATTCTAATTGATTCAGGACTGATGTCAGTGTGCTTTCTCTGGCCCTGTGTTTCTCACTACATGGACTCACTTGTTTCATTATATTTTACTCGAAATGCACATGTGATATAGTTTTCCTATATATTAGACAAAAATGACTGATGCATTTGATCTCATCCAAGGAAAGAGTCCCCAGCATGTCTTGAAATGTAACTATCATCTTGGTTTACAGGTACTTCAGGTCAGGAGCTCCACCTGTAATCAACCCCCTCCAGACACATTTTCCAAAGGACACCATTGTACCAGGCTCCTTCGCTGTCACTTTGACATGGACGCTGCCCAACCGCACCACGGGGGTTTTCAATGTCACCAGCCCCCTCCCAGGAGACTGGTTCCTGGCTGCACACTTACCAAAGGATGAGGGGAAGATCTCTGTCAAGGTGAGTAAAAACGTACAGGATAAAGCAGTCAGTGATCACAGGGCTAACAATGAGAGAATCGTTTCTGCTTTTAACAAGAGCTAAGCTTGTTGATTATGAAAAATGCCTTATGTTCATGGTTGTGCACGTACGTTCCTCTCGGCATTTATGCATTTATAATTGAAGCTGCTCACTTCCGCACAGTCAGTGGGTGGCCTTTATGGGTAGTAATTTAAGTGAGCGCTGTGATTTCAGAACTTGTCATAGACTTCTTTTTCAAATGAGATTATATATGCGTTTCCTGTCAGAGTGCTCATTATTTCGCTTGGGTTGTAATCTCAGAGACAATGGCATTTTTCTTTTGTATAATGCCCTGAATATTCATTTATATATATTACATCATGTTAGAAGTGCATTACTTTTTAAAAATGGTTTATTTTTCTTATTGTTCTCAAAACCACACACTTGTCCGAGTATGACGTCTGTCTCTGTGGAATGAAAGCATGTTTCCAAGTAGAGAATAAAAAACATAATTGTGAGGTAAAGTGTAGGATTAGAAAGCCATGCTGTGAGATATAAAGAGAGTTTTAAAGTCACAAATGAGTAGTCACATTGCGAGATGTAAAGTTAAAGTTACAAGTGGGAGAAATTAAGTATCGATTATAAGAAATAAAGTTTTAAAAAGGGAAATAACATTTTTATACATTTTTATACACTTTTTATTTTGGCTTCATTACTGCCTGATACCAAAACTATTTTCATAACGTTTGAAAGTTCACAGAGCTACTGTTTTGCTCTACTCAAAAATGCTTGTTGAGTCTTGTATAGACATACAGTGCTTTTTAAAAAAAAGGAAGTTCATATTAAAACACAAGGGGTCAATCATGCATCATAAGATATGCGTAAGTAATAGCATGTCAGCAGTGGCTAAATTACGGCCTAATAATGCTCCCTGCCAGTAAACACAAATGTACAGCAGGTTGTTGTATTCTTATTAAGGGTATTACTGCCCAGGGGGAATATTTAAATAGGGAAAATCAGCCAGTGGAAAGTGTTTAAAAAGCTCATGCTGCTGAGAGTCCACTAAGAAGCACAATACAATGTACTGGCTCACAGTGGAGACTGAATTCACATAAACAGCTTACATATTTTTAATTCACTAAAAGAACGTGCATTTAGTCTCATATCAAATATTTAGAACAACTAAGTCATGCAGGGCAAGTCTCTTTCATTCATTCCTAGTTCTGTTCACAGTATGTATTTATCTTACAAATAAAGGATGTATTTGTTGTTTAGAAGTATTACATGGTAAAATGCAATATAATGAAAGTGTTATGCTTCCCTAAAATCTTTTTTTCATTGCGAGATGTTTCACAGAAATAAGCAGAACCACCGGACCAGAACCAAAACTATCACAATCAAAAGTTGAATTATTTTTTACATGTTTGCATTATTATAAATTTAAATGCTTTAGATGCTGTCCAGCTAAATTTTCTCCTAGTGTGTATTATACAGGCCACACAATCACCTGGTAAAAATTGGATGTGCCAAGATTCATCTTATGTCTGCCTTACAGAGTTATGACTGGATACATTCCACTGGGTTGTATTTGCGTGTGGATACAGAGAACTTGTTTTCTCTGTTTGACTGAGACTCACATCTGCTTTAATTGTGCTGCCATGCATAATTTAGCCAATATCTGACAGTTCTGTAAAATGGGAGAAAAGTGCTATTAAAATCTGGAAAATAGGTCTAAAATATGATTATGTGCTTGCTTTAATTGTATTAGAAAATAACAATAGCCAAAGTGTGTTTTTGGCCTCTAGAAGTTCAAACTGTGCAAGTGAAACTTATAAATGAGATTTGGTTTTTAAAAGAATAGTTTTTAAAAGAATAGTTCACTCATAAATAAAATGGCCATAATTGAATTATCTTCATGTTGTTCCAAACCCTGATGACTCCCCCCCTACAATATATATATATATTGTATCCTTTTGAAGCTTAGAATCTTAGTCCCCATAATTGCTTGGAAAAGAGTGGCCAGTACATGAATTGAAACTTATGTTTTTATGTTCCTTGAAAGAAAGAAAGTTATATTGGTTTATAACAACACAAGGGCATTCTAATTCTTTTTAAGTGACCTCTCTGCTTAAGATTTTAAACAACATCACTGCGGTGGATTGTATCTAAATGGATCTCACATTGGAGTAAACTTCTCGCATCTTAATTGGAATTCTTATGTTCACAATAGCATTACCTCAATCTCCATCCACAATCTTAAAAAGTCCGCCTTAGCTGAGTTTTGTCCTTTGCTGCTCTTACTTATCTCAGAGCCACCAGGCCTGCACTTCAGCCTTTCTCTTTAATTAACTGCAGCAGGTTTGGTCGTGGTGGAGGCCATTCTCCTGGATTAAGAGCAATAATTCTACTCGGGTGTGCTCCGCTTTAAGGGCACCGCTTTCCTCTGAGCCCACAGGGTCACACTGCCAGCCAATTAGACAGAGACAAAGCTTGGAACGACGAAGGCTTCCTCTTTTCTGTTGGCCTGGGGAACGACAGCACCTGTGGAGCAGAAAAGCTCATGGCTGAACCTACTGAGGTGGAGTAATTGGAGGAAGTGTGGAAAGCGAGGCCATGCTTTCCCTGAGGAATACATTTTTTATTTATTATTCTGTGTAGTGTAATGGGGGTTATGTTGTATTGGACTTTTGTTTTGTTGAAGGGGCTTGTAGGTAGATTGTGCCACAAACTGTCTGCACAGTGAACTATCATAAATTTACTCCATCTTGGTAATGTTACCTGGGCATCCGTTTTTTTATGTGTACAATATGCAATAAGCTCCTATTTAACTAAATAGTTTTGGACATTGCATTCTTTCTGCATTTGCATTTGTTTAAAAAACATTATTCAAATCAAGTTGCTAAAACAATTAGGCATTTTGGAGTAAACAAACTCCGTTAAAAAGATGATTGGTGCCTTTAACTGACTAGCTATGGCCAACATTGAAAAATGCATTTTTTTATTTGATAATTTTTTTGATGGGTGGTCCCTCTCCTCCTACTTACTCTGACATTCAAGGAAAGTTGACAATGAAATACAACTTCAAATCTACTGCTACTACTACTACTACTACTATTATTATTATTTTGTATAAAAATTACAAGATAAGATTCTAAGAATTTAACAGTTGTTAAATTAAGTCACAAGCAATGAATAATAATATCAATACTGTTAATAATAAATATAGAGATTGAGTTAACATTGCTGTGAACCTTTGGAACTGATAAATAATATTATTAATAATATTATTATGATGTAAATACCAAGATGAAATTTGAAGAATTTAACAGTTGTTAAGTCACAAGCATTTGTTGTTATTATTATTGTAACTTAATGGATGTCTTGTACACCAAGTTAAATTCTTAAATTCTTAAAATCCCATCTTGAAATTCACATCATGATCGTAAACTGCTACGACCCAAGTGCAAGCCCGTAACTGACTGTCAAGTAACAGCTTGCAGGATCGAAGCTCTGTGGACACATGGTGCACAGAGGTGAATCTCAGCAGAGCAAAGCTGTAGCGGCCCTCAGCAAAGTGCAAGTCTGTTCTCTCAGCTGATGAGCTCCACAGTGTCTGTGAGGCTAATCAGGGAGCAGCCGGACCCCGCTCTGCAGGTGCACAGTCACACAAGCAGATGGCCAATTGTAGAGAGAGGAAGAGAGAGGGAGGAAAGGAATGAGGAAAGAAGGGGGATGAGTATGAGTCAAGCACGCAGTAAAGATCAGCCGGCCGTCTGCTGGATGAAGCTGCCACAGTGGATAAGCAGCAACCAGAAGCTGAGCATCCTGACAGTTTGCCTTGCACTAACTAAACTCTCGGAGTAAATCAATAAACTAATTGGAAACTGTCAGCACTTGGAGATATGTTATCGTTCAGTGCATCTTTGTTGTTTTGGGGTAAGGTCTACACAAGTGGGGATGGGGGGCTGTCAGTTTTGTGGCTGTTTATCTCTGTATTGATTTTTTTTAAAGATAGTGAACAGGCCAAAACACATTCTAGATTTTCTGTGTTATTAAGGTGTGCTAGGTCAGTAGATGCAATTGTTCTTGTTTAATGAAATTCACTATAATGCACGTCCATTTACTAGGGTTAAATCATTTTCAAAGTTTTTAAATTCCTTGTTTTATAGTTGTGATTATTTTTTTTATGATTATTTTACTTTCTTTTATGTAAAGCACTTTGAATTACCATTGTGTATGAAATGTGCTATATAAATAAACTTGCCTTGCCTATAGGGTTATTTATACTGTAGACAGTGTTTGTTAGGGAGAAGGTCAGCCATTTTAATCAGATAATGATCTATGAGTTTACTCAGTTGGTTAATGGTGAGGTGGGGATTTTTTAAAATGGTAATATTCCAAGCTTGCCAGTTTATTACACTCAGACTGTAAGGTATTCATAGGTTGACTCCCCTGAAAAGTGAAAATAATATGGTTTTGACACACCAGCACTCTCTCAATCAATGTATCTGAGGATGCAAATCAGTTTGAAACGGTAATTATTTTTATATTCAATTCTTTGACAACAATGATGGGAAAACTTCATACTTATCATTTAGCACCCTCATGCATATAATGATTGTCGGTGGACAAGTCAGTGTTGTGTTGACATTTGAGTTTCATTGTATGGAAAAAAAAACAAACAGTTGAAACACTTTTCAAACTTTTCATAGAGAACAACATGAGTTTTCATTTTTTTTTCTGAACTGTCCCTTTAATGTAATTGCATTTTCTGTAAACAGATCTGAGCTTCACCTTTCTGATAGTATCCTGTCTTTTGACAAATAGTAAAAAAAAAAAATCTAATTATGGCAGGGCTGTCACGATATCAGTTTTTTACCACAATTATTGTGGCCAAAAGAAGTCAAGTAATTAAAGTATTATCACAATATCTATTGAAATATGGAAGAAATAAATAATGATATCAGTCAAATTCATCTTTAGCTTTGTTTATTTAGTTT